TTGACAATAGCCTAATGGAGAATTCCTATTAGAAACAAAAACCTTATGACAAAAAATTTTTTTTCCCCAAAAAGTAAAAAACTCCTCGTGGAAGCAGTAACATCCTGTTTCATGCTCAGTGTTGGCGCTAGTCATACAGATCTGGGAGCAGTTATAAATTATTTGCAATTAACTACAGAAATCCCAGCCAACTTGCTGGTAAAGAGTCTTCTCTACCTGGTAAACTACTGATACTACAAGATCAGGTTCATTCACCCTTCTGTGAGGCCCTCATTAACTCCTTCCCTTTAATGCAAGGACATTTTTACTCCCTCTTCTAAGTTACCCTGTTCATTAATTCTCCCGCAAACATTTACTAAGAGTCTATGTGCCAAGCACAGTGTCCTTAACTCTGCAGTACATAGAAGAGAAATATGCATGTCATGAGAACTGGCAGGCATGTAAATAAGGTTATCATTACACACTGGGATTAGTGCTCTAATAGAGATACACTGTGGAGAGAAATACAGTCATATCTTCCCTGAAGAAGCCCGTTGAGGTTGTGATTCACTGGAACTTTTCCATCTCTCCCAGTAGACTATTGACCTCTGAAGAAAGAAATTGTGCTTTAGTGAGGTCTAGCTCCCTGTTACCTAGTAAGTGCAAAACATGCTACAGAAACTCAGTACAGTATTTGTTACTGCATTAGAAAAACAATGGGATGACTTAAAAAATAATAATACTGGTATTTTATAACTGGGTCTTACACTTCCAATTTGCTGCAATGTGCCTTTTAAAACCAGATCTCTGTGGCAGAAGTATTCTGAACATCCCTTTGGCGGTAAGATATTCCAGCCCAAGAAATCATAAGGAAAGATGTTAACAGGTGGCCTCTGCTAAAACATGGCCTCTACCCTGAGGAAATAAACACAGCAAGACATAGTCCAGTGGTTGCACAGAAGGCTACTTAGCTGACCTTCAGCGCAGTTCTTCCTTGAACCCCAAGTGCAACTGTCCTGTCTCCAGGAGAACAATTTTACCCCTGAACAAAACATTGTTTTTGTTTAACAAAAACCATGGGGATTTTCCTAAATTACTATCTGGAATCGTTTATAAAAAGCAAGTGAACTCTACCTAGGGCTATTCTTTTTTTAATAATAAAAAACTGAGTATATAATCAGTTTCTAAAAATAAAAATATAGCAAGCTATTTTATTTTATTTTATTTCATTTAATTGCTCTTTCCTCACTTTTTCTACTGAAGTGTTTGTTTTCAACTACAAAAAATGCCAATCTATCACCTGACACTAACTGATACAAACCACAGAACTCAGAAATTAAAGAACTAAGCCACTCATAAAATGTGCTGTCAGTTATCAGTTGTAAATTACTAATCTAAAAAGCTAACCTCAGTAAGAGGTATTCATGAATCACTTTATTGCTGTAATCAATCCCCCAGACAGCAAGCAAGAGAACACCTTAAAGATATGAAACTATCTGGATGGGCACTGTTTGTGCTGGCTTCACTGGCCCAGAGGTTCAAGAAGTGCGGCAGTTTGGCTCACATAGCACCCATTGGGATGCAGAGAGCATGCACTGCAAGGTGACACCCTACAATGTCATTAATCATTTATTATTTGTTCTGTTCTTATATTAAATTATATTCGTGTCAACAGACTCTGCCCTAATTCATATGTATCAGGTCACTCGAGACTGCCCTTGATCTGACACAGGGTCCTTCTGAAATGTTTGCTGGCTCACTAATAGTTGTAAGCCTTGCAGAAAAGGATCAGCCCTGGAAGGCTGGGAGGTGAATGTTCTACATCAGGGTAAAGAACCCAAATAGATGAGTTCCAACTAGGATAACACAGCACAAGAGAATCATTCCAAAGGTAGGTGTTTCATCCTAAATGCCTTGAGTTAAGAATCCAGGAAAACCAAAGGTACACGTAAGTGGGAGTCTGTGCATGTTTTAAAAAAGAGACTCTATCTCACTTCCCCATGCTAGCAAGCATTTAACTTTAAGAAGCCAAATTGAATATTTAACGTAATATTTAGTCCTTTATTACTTTCCTATGGCCAATTTAAAAGTTTAATGGCAGTTTCTTAAAGGAAGACAGAAAAATTCTAACAGAAAGAAAACCTACTCCGGATGATGTCACCTCTAACTTACTTTATATTTCAAGAACTCCAATTTTTAAAACATTATGGCGAAGATTTAAAGAAAGTCAGTGATGCTTCTTCATATTTATCCTGTTACAGATCTGTAACAAGCGTATCTGTAATTCTAAAATCCACAAAGATCTGAGACTGGAACTTTATTCATAAATGTCTAGCAAATTCTTTTGGTGGCAAAACCAGACTGAGCTGGCATGAGGCTATTTTTAATCACTATTTATTATAAGAAATATGAATATCTCAGGCTTTGTTGCAAAATACTAGTGTGAGATTACAGGGTGCTGCCGACCTCACAGGTGGCGTTCTATAACACGGACCATTTTATCTTGCTAAAATCCAAAATGTCTGAGACCAGCAAACCTACCTGGTCCTGAGAGTTCAGGCAATTCTTTGTGAACCTGCACCCTGTGAACATTTACATGGAAACAGTTTAGGATCCTCGGCACCTGAATGTTACCTAAGAGACTTTTACCTAAATCCCAAACCTCATTTAAAAAGCTCCTAAATTTTGAATAATGTAGATCTTAGGAAGCAAATACATAAAAACTGAAGAAGTATAAAAAAATGAGATGTTGTTAAGGTGGGGGGTGATGGATGGGGGGCACATGGCACTGCACATTTTACAGTAACAGATACCGGCCTTACCAAAATCCTGAGAACACTGACATTTCAGATATTTTAGCCAAAGGCAAAGATTTTATCCAGGTGAAAGACGCAGTATGCGCACGCGTGTGTGTATGTGTGGGTGTGGGTGTCTGTTTACCTAGAACTTCAGAAGAAAATGAGGCCCTAGAGTTCTGACCATGTGTGCTATAACCTAGTTGATTAAAATTCCATTTTTCTACCCAATCCACAATGCTAGTAGTGTTATGTCTCAGTTATTCCACCCTGAGAAGGACAGACCACAAGGGACAAACTAAGCTTTACTATAATTACTACCTTTACTATCTTATACTGCCCTAAAGGGAAAAATTCCAGCACCCCTCACACCTTTAACTATTCCAAATCTACTATCAATCCATTTTACCCAAACCTCAAATGCTTTTAACTTGTATCAGCAGGAACCACAATGAAACTCATTCATTCTAAACAATGTCTGTGCAGCTCTGTCTCTGTGTCTCTCTCATGGGTCTGGAACCCAAGCAGTTAATTACTATTTTCTACAAAGTCCACAAGAACAAAAGATGCAAGCCTGCTATTAAAGAGAGAACTAGGGCCTTCAGATTTGAACTTCCTCTGGATGCAAATGATGACAGAAGCAACTTTGTGCAGACCAAATGTTTTAGCAAAGTAACTCATGTCATTTTCTAATGTTTTAGGAGGATGCAGGAAGGGACTGGAGTCAAACACAGTTCCTCCTAAAGTGCTCCAAGGTGGCTTAAAACAAGACGTTTTTGGCAAGCTACACCAACACATACCAGGCAACAGGTAACTAACCTTATATACTCACTAGTTTAAAAAAAAAATCAGACTTTAACATTACTGCACATTCACATGTTCAACTGCTTGATTTCAACCCTTCCCCATCACATTCTGAAGATCATTAGAAGCATATCAGAAATGACTATTTTGTCTTCAGCTTATCTTAAAATACTTCAATTAAGGGCAATGATTTCTTTGCATTGATTAGTTTTAATGATACCATACCCTAGGCCAGTCAGCTGACCTGTGAAGTCCACTTGGAAGAATATCCTCTTCTCAAGAGTGGCTAGATAGTAGTTGAGAACTGCTAATCAAAAGCCCAAACTCCAACTACCTTTATCCCTATTAGCAGCAGGTTTGGGGAATTAGGAAAAAAGATAATGATTTTTGGTTGTTAAATGTGTGGCCACATGCCTGTGGCTAAAGTATCTTTAAACATACCACCCCCCAACATAAGTAGAGCTTAACAATATAGCCCCATCCTCCAGCTCCAGCCTATTCCCTTCAGGATGATACAGGTGAGGGGGACCAGAGTTTTGAAGTTTCTGGAGGCTCTGACTCCCAAATGCTACCAGAAGGTTAACTGATTCCTGCAGGAGAATATCATATTTGCCTCCGGAACCTTCAGCAGCAGCAAGATCCCTGCAGGAGGGCATAAGAAAACAGAGGACTGAAATTTCAGAACAGGCCTCAGGGCTGTGATTCTCCTGCCCGTTTGCTAGCATACATTACTAGGAAACGGAATCCTGTCCCAGATTTGCTTTCCCCATTAAGATGCCACTTGGCAGGGAAGCTGTCGTGAAAGGCCTACATCATCCCTGTCCCTCGGCCCCCACCGGTATAGCAAACTGTCTCTACCAAGAGCTGGGTACAGGAGGGCTGCCAGGTCAGTTAGGGTCACACCATGGCACTCGCAGATGGCAGCAGCCACAGGAAGACTAGACTGGAGCAGGGAGAGCAGCCAAGATGAATGCTGTGGCTTCTCCTGGCCAGGCAGCTGCACCTGTGCGGCAGCTTCCAGGAAAGCCTGGGCTCCCTGGAGCAGCCCCAAAGGTAGGGCCGGCTCGCATGCAGGCGCGAACGCAGGGCCTGCGCCCGGAGAAGGCTGAGCCTACACGGGAGGGAGAAGGCACCGGCTGGCAAAGTGATCTCTCCCCAGACAGGCTAGCCCTGGCGAGGTGGCAGACCCAGAGGGGTATCACCCACGACCGGCAAGAGGCAGGGGTAGCCAGGACTCTCAAGGAGGCTGCTCATCGCTGGAAAAATACTCAGGACGCGAGTTCGCATCCTTCGTTGACCACCTGCCGGCTTCTGACCCAGGAGGGCGTGTACCTCAGCGGCCCCCAATCCCCAGCGTACTCAGCCGAGCAGGTCACTGTGGACCCGGGTCAGTCCCTACTGCACACCGGTCACGCTGCCCACCTCTGCGCGGGGACCCGTCGATGCTCTCGGCGCTGGACGAGTGCGCGTCGGCCGGGGCCCTTCGCAGGCTGAAGTAACCGCGGGGCCGCGAGGTGCCGCTCCGGGGGGGGGGCCCCGCGGCG